ATGGGAGTTGTGGAGACTCTGTTATCATTCTGGCTCCATTAATTCCAATTCATTTTAGCTGTGTGATAACAAGCAGCGTCTGCTTGTCTGCGCTCTCACAAGCCAGTGTGCTGTGTTTCCAGATAAAGATGAAGCCTGTTGTGGGAGGTTCTTCTTTTCCAGTCTGTGTGTGTATATAATATATATGTGTATATATACATATATATTATATATATGTTTCTTTTCTTAAACTAGAGGTAAATAATTCCCAAATATATTTTATCTCATGTATACCTGTTAACCTTTTTTAGAATGTGTCTTATTTGGTTAAGATTGAGGCTTGAAAATGCGAGTGTCTTGTAAAGATGGCACACTCTTATTTACAAGGCCTCTTTGTATAGTCTTACGGTAAAACAGATGTGGACTGTGATTATGAGGCTGTGGGCCATTTTGGACCTCTAATTCTCCCTCTCTCTCTCTCTTAAAGGACTCCAATGGCATGATCACATTACATACAGTAGTGCTGAAGTACTGTCTGAATATGAATGAATATAAAACCACTATAGTGTATCTAGAACCTTGTTGAAAGTAATTAGTAATAGACAATAAGCAGATAATCCCAGGCTATATCTAACCGCTCAGTCGTAATGTGTTTGCAGGAAGAGGCAAACTGTCATCTAAAGACCTTACTTTCTTTAGGCTTCCCCAGTACACTACAGAGTCTAATGAACTAAACTCTTAGTAAACTCTGGTCTCTTTAGTGATCACTTTTGTCCCAATTTTCTTGCTTAATAGATTATACAATACAAAATATTCATAAAAACACATACATGTTGGTTTATGAAATGTAATTTACTTTGGAGATTCAAAATAGCTGTCTACTATCTACAAAGCTACAAAGTAAGAAACACATTGACTTTCTGGGACATCATCAGTTTATTTGCTGTGTTTTGTTACATTATTGCCGGGCAGAATGTATTACTTTGATCCCAAGGATTTTACAGTAGCTTTGTAACTCATGACAAAATCCTCTTTTCCTTTTTTCCCGCCCCATCTTGTTTATTGGAACTGCCTTTCTAAAAAGAGAGAAAGGGAAAAAGCCTTTACAATCCCAAGGACAAAGGAGGAGTTTGTGTTGCTGGGAGGCGACTTGACTGACTTTCTCACACTTTGATAGTGAAGGATGTCGTCCTAACAGTTTCTCTATAGCTTCCAAAAGGGTAACTATATAGCATAGTAAGTGCAGTATAATATTTAATTATTTGTCGTTACAGCTACAATTTGTTATCCTTATTTTTTAATTACTATGTACCTATTTCATAGTTAATTGTGCACCTTGGGCAGAAGCATGAATTTCCATGCGAGAAGAGTCACCTTGCCCGCCATCACGCCACTTTGTCTGCAGAAGCGGGTAGGCATCTTGCATGGATCTCCTCTCCTATTATTATCTCTTCACATCATGCCTCTGTTAGTGAAGAGCTGCTTTTTGTTAACGTTTGAGGATAGTGCTAAATCCAACATCATGTGAGCCCTCTAAAAGGGCTCTGAACATGTGCCACAAGGGTTTGTCTTCATAAATAGGCTAAATTGACAATCATTTCTCTGTGCTGTTGATACTTAGTCCGGTATTCACACAAAGGGTTGTTCTAAAATTACATTAGTGCCATCTTTGAGTTGGAGAGTAGCAGTTTCTCTGGACCCTGCAAATATACTAAAATGTGAATGCTGAACAAAGCAAGCCCACACATAAAGTCTGAATATTGATTTTCCGAGCTTTTTTAAATTTGTTGCATCATGAGGACTTTCTGACACTATTGTAACTAAGCTCCTGCCTGCCGCCTTAAAAACTGCTCCTTTATTCCTTATGGATTTATAGATTATTGGCTTCCATATTATGTCGTTGATTTTGTTTGTTACTACTTGATGATTACTTGATGACATGGAATCTGTCGATCTGAAATCACCAAGGAAGTGTGTACCATCAGGACAGATACTGCACCAGCTTGTGAACTCTAAGATAAAAAGTATTTTATAAGGGGGCACAGCTGCAATGCTGTTAGTGCATGTGTCTTATCCATCAAGCTTTCTCAAGTGTTTATAACGTTCTACCTCTCTGTCAAATCATTTGAATTTATTTTTTTGGAGAAGACCTCATAAGTCATTAAAAACCTGCTACTACCTGTGTGGCCCGATAACATTTTGTCTGCTGTTGCAATTATTCAACTCATTGGTGCAATTTTTTTATTACCTAGTTTTTCAATTGGTCTTTCTCGTTGGCCGTCTAGAGAACCTGTCTCTAGCTAATATTTGGGGGCCACGCGCAATAGGTGTAAATATGACCTGCTTTGCCCCCTACAGAGAAAGTCATAAAGGAGGATCAGACCGTGAGGATATTTCTTAATGGTTTTTAAGATAGACGGGGCTGGAGGCCACCGCCCCACCAGCGCTACGCAATAGAGCTGCAGCTGTGAGAGTGCAGTTCAAGGTGAAAGCAGAGCAGCCCAATTGCAAAAATGTCTCAGTGTCCCGTCCTTGAGATAAGAAGGTCTAATAGAAGAGTTTATGTTCAACAAGACTATATAAAGCGCTGCGTAGTCCACGTCTGGATTCATTCTGCTTTTTTTTTGGACGGTACTTTTCATTGAAAGTTTTTTTTTTAACAAAGCACGAAATGTTCTTTTACTTCGCCCTCTGCTCCGCCCGTCACCACCCGTTGGCTCCTGACTAACACAATCTCGACCCTCGACCCTCTGTGATCATTTTGAAAAATGTCATTGTTATATATAAATATATCTTGGTCATGTTTCTATAATTTATAAACTTAACGTTTAAATTAAGAACGTTGTGTTTTTTGCGTTTGATCGGCTTGTTGGCCTCATTCTTTTTTTATTTGGTGGAGGGCTGCATCATTGGCCAAGTTGGGGGTCAGGTGTGCAATTTATTTGCTGTCAGTATTTAGTTATTTATTCATAGGTGGTACTGTTTAATGTTTTAGGTTAGATTATAGGATAGAATACAAGTTATTTCTGTTTTAAATAAGCAGTTTACTTATTTTTAGGTATGCATAGTTTTGTTTAGTTTGTATGCTAATTATTTGGGTAATACTGTGATCACCTGGAGGTTGTTTATGGGAGAAGCCAGGTCATGGACCATATTTTTTATTTTTTTTTATTTTTACCAAGCTCAGCAGAGGCAGCGAAAAGCATCTTCTTTTGTTTGCTTGTTTTGTTGTCCGATAAATGTAAAACAAAATGGAAAGCCGACAAAGCGTATCCGTGCACGAACCTGTGGTGCATCGGTGGCCCTTTCCATTTGTTTGGGATCTAAATGGCAACTACAGTAGGTCTGAATAATGGGCAGATTCACTAGTTTGTTTCCACGTTAGTTGTCACCAACCAGTTTTAGAATCTAGACTGCAGATTTGCCTTTTTGAGTTGGAGCACATTTTTGAATGTTTCGATTTAGCTAATTCTACATATTTCAAAAGTGACCTTTCATTTTGGCCTGGCTGCAACCAAGACTTTGCTTGTGTATGTGTTAGTTGGAACAGCGGAAACCGGTTTGCTCTTTTTCCCTTTTAAAATGAGGAAGAATGATCTTAACAGTGATGTTGCAACATAAACGGTGTACTTGATTGACTTGACGTAGGCGTGCATGAATGCTTTCAGGTGAAGGCATGTTTACCTATGGATCAGGGTTACTTGCTGATGAATGCAGCTCTGTGTTCACCGATAAAAACAGCTGCCAAGTACACAGCATGCTACCTTGCCTAGCCATTCATTAGAAACTCTTAACCAATGATTAACAGCACCTTCAACTCAATGTTATGTATGAAAAAATAATGCATAACGATACAGTAAGTTGTTTAAGGACATAGAAGTAATTACAGTTTGAGTTATGCAATTAAATGAGCAGACCTATCTGTTAATATTAACAGCATGTGTGCGCATTTCATCTGATGTTGTCATTTGGCATATTTTCTATGTTTGGAAACAACCAACAACATATTTGTGTTCCTCGGGAATCTGCTCCGTTAATTAGTGAGTCAAAGTAACCTGTGCAGCAGAACCACCTTTTTAAGTCCTATATTTTAAACGCGTATGATGCCAAACCAAGTGAGCACCATTTTGTTGCCTGAGGCCAAACACCCACTATCTGACATCAAATAAATTGTGATAATTATGTAAAAAAGGAAATAAATAATACTATCACTGTAACCATGGAGACAGCTGCAGGAACTGCTCTTCCTGTGTGTTTCAGTATCATGGTCATAACGCATTCCCAAAAAGAAATCAATCTGAAGAGGGTTTTTTTCATAGATATTGTTACAAGAACACTCTTCCACCTTCATCATTATCACGATGCCCTTAAGATACTCCATCTTTTTTTCTTTATTTCACGTAATTTACGTTAATCGTGTAAATGGGTTCTCTTGTGTACAAAGGAAGCAAAAACCAGACAATGCTTTATGATTGGGAATGTAGCAGACTGCAAGTTTATTACCCCCCTCTAAAAGTCCTCGAAGGTCTGCTGCAGAGACGCAACTGCACAGCGTGATGCTGGCATGGTGTGTTTTACTGTCGATGTGTTTGATGACTGCAACACAACTACAAATGTTTGTCTCAGCAGGCCAGAGAACCCACACGCATTTCTGCGAGTGATTCGTGCTTTCCTGACTACTTCAGAGCTGTCATAGGTCTTTACAAAACTTTACAACCCCAAATCTTGCTATGCAACCTGGTGTTGACTCCCTGTCTCACCATCTTGTGGCAACAGGGTCATAGCTGTTTTACAGGATAGTCTGTCAGTGGGTCTCAACCTTTTTTCAGTGAAGTTCTCTCTCTCCCCTGTGAGACTTATTTTCAGCCAAGAACCCCTTAACCAGTGCAAAGCATTTTTGGTTGGAAAAATATATATATATTCGAAAGCAGTGGGCTGTCAGTGTCTAATTTATTACTATATGTGATTTAAAAAGGCACAAAGCCTTGAGTGGGTTGCCACTAAATCCCATTAAGAGACATTTTTCTGAATACTGACTAAAGTTTGCAAATGGATGCTAATTTCTAATAAATCTTTCCAAAAATTTCACACACACCCCTGAGGGCCTTTATGTTCCCCCATTTGAAAACCACTGGTCTCTGTGATGGAGTAGAATCATATAATTTATTTTCATACATTGTTGATGCATCCATCTAGATGTTTCACCCAAACACCTTTCAGTTGCTCTGTGCAAACATGGAGTACATCTGCAATGCTAATGCCCCAAGAACGGTTTCCTCGCCCTCTGACAAACCCGACCCTGTCCCCGGTGAAATGTGATGCCTGAATGATTTGATTTGGCCAACTCTCAGGAAGCCACTTCCTCGCAGCAGCTGAACAAGAGTCCATGCTCGATGCAGTTATGACCAGCAGTGCAGCAAATTCCTACCTTTTTGTTACGTGGTGGTTGGTTTATTCTAAATAAATATGGTTTTGTACTTTTTGAATAATTAACCTACAGCGTTAAATCTGTTAAAATGGGGCCTGCCGGCCTAATCGCCCTAATGTCTTATTAAAAAATCCACAAGCAAAGATATTTGTCTTGTCAGGCTCCCAGTGGGCTGATTAAACACTAAATGGTTTACACTGAGAGATGATGTCATGGCTCAAGGCTCTCATTTGCTGATGGCTCCTTGAGGACTCAAACTTCAGCCCTGAGAGGTCTGACCTCTTTTCTCTCCACAAAAGGAATCAAGCTGGCAGGCTGTCAACTACCAATGGCACTCATAGAAAGAAAAACAAAAAGACAGTCATTTGCTCTTTACTTTGCTCCCTCCCATTCGGCACACGCCTATGTCAACTTTGGACAGAGTTGACCCAACTAGCATTACATTTAACCAGCACCTTTGTAATTGCCCTGTGGGCTCCTACAGGCCATTATGCTGGATTTCTGCTGGCTGTGGGCGTGTGAATGGGGAGGGGGTTGGGGCCCTGTCCCTCTGTATGTGTGTCTCTCTCGCTCTCTCTGTCCTCCTCTAAGCCATTTTCAGACATTGGATAGGTGACTTTGCTAGCTTCCTCCATGTGGCATTTTGTCATTCTGACTTTTAGGTTAATGTCCATGCTGGCAGGAGACCTTATTTATTGTAAGTGGCATTTTGGTTTAATTTAAGACTGATCTGATATGAGAAGATTGATCTCAACATCCTAAAACTAACTCTCTCTCTAACTCTGTAATTCCTTGTTTAATGAGAGCTAGTTTGTGATTTAAGAGGAGTAAGTATAGATACATTTATATATTGATGCTATAGGAGGTAATTACCAGACAAGCAAGTATTCTTAGTCTGTCTCTCACTTGATCTCTCTCTCTCGCTCTCTGTTTCTCAACTTAAGACTTGTGTCATGTTAAAAGTGATGTGGGAATGTTATATGATGCAACCTAGTACGGTGCATCTCTGAAAGGAACTCTTATTTGATGCACAGATCAGGTCTCCTTCTTCCTGACACTGAGTGGCGGTGAGAGCTATCAGGTGATCTGGTGTCCACCCCCAGCAATACAGATACAGTACGTGGAGGTGGGACGGCGCTGTGCTAAGAGGCGGTTTTGCCTAATTGCCTCCTTTCAGCCTCACTGCAGCGCAGAGTGAGAGCGGGCAAGCGAGCGAAAGGGAGAGGGGAGAATAGAGGTAGAGTCTCGGTCCGTCCCAGCTGACGCTGGCAGTGCTGTCAGACGTGTGTTTTTATGCTTTTTACAAAAGCTCTCTTTTGCAATGTTGTGTACTCGGCCATGCATAGGCTACAGATCCTGTTCAAACTCTGAACACTGCTTGGCTTCAAAAAGGGGGGTAAGTTCCTCTTTCAGATGGATTAATTTTTACATGTTATGTCTTCATGTGGTGTTGCAATATCAATACACTTCAGCAACTCATTATTTACACTTGGAACATGCTTTGCACAATATTCTCTACTTTTTAGTTGTGTCATCAACGCTCCTTTTCTATTTTGTTTACCTACCTCTACCTTCTACCTAACTGGTTTGCTGGTCATTCTGATTCATTTGTCAGATACTTTGCACCACTCCGTTTACTTATGTCCCTTAAGGGTAAAAAGTGTTGTTGAGTCTTTTCCTTTTGTTTCAGGTGATCAAAGTTTATAATGAGGATAACACCAGCAGGGCAGTGGAGGTTCCCAGTGACATCACTGCCCGGGACATATGCCAGCTGTTTGTCTTAAAGAACCACTGCATTGATGACCACAGCTGGACCCTTTTTGAACACATCTCTCATCTGGGAATAGGTAACATGTTGCTTCTCATATACATCTAATAGTTCTGTAAGAATGTACAAACCATGCAAATCGAATCTTTGTACTGGTATTGACCATGTGGTCGTAATGCTGTTAGTACTGTGAGCAAGGTAGGCTTTGTTTGATGGGAGTGGCGGTAGGTGGCAGACAGTTGACTTGGCAATCTATGCAATCTAATTGTCTTCTGTATTTGTTTAACCCTAAACCAGTTCAGAGGGCCAATGTTGGTACTGACTGTGTCTCTATCACTGCAAACGATAGATTCCCCAAATGCAAAACATTATGGTTTGCATTTGGGGAATGAATGGCATTAAATATAGGTCGATATAAGCCTACAGTGAGAAATACACATATTTGGATTAATGTATGATATATATTATTGCTAGGCGACAGTATGCCTGCATACTAGAATTCTCTGCTGCTTTTCCCACTGTTGCACACATTACATAATTAATCCATCTGTTCCATTCCAGTCTTCAGTTTTATTAAATCAAAGCCATGTTTTCCTTTACTGTGAAAAACATGTATTTTTTTATTTGACCTTTTCAGATAAATTGCTGAAATAATAATATTGTTTTTTCGCAGACTACTCAAAGTCCACACGCGTAAATGTTTATTAAATAAAAGGGTTTACAAGGCAAGGCATACACAGTTTAATTCAATATTATCATGAGCCTTTTTAAATCATGAATAGTTACTCGTACATAATTTTATGTCTTTTTTTTTTGTTGATTCTATTCCGTCCATCGAGATGTGAAATACAACCTGTCGTTGATTTTCTTTTCTTGTCCTCCTGGTCTCACTAGAGAGAACCATTGAAGACCATGAGTCTGTTATGGAGGTGCTGTCAGGCTGGGCAATTGACACGGAATGCCGCCTCTATTTTAGGAAGAACTTTGCAAAATATGAATTCTTCAGGAAACCCTTGGTGAGTTTGTGATAGTTATGTTGTGGGTTCATACAAATAACTTCTCTCTTTGAACCAACCAGCTGTATTTTGACTACCTTGTGGGTTGAGGAGACTGAAGAGCGTCATAACAAATGATGTTGCTTTCACATTGGTAGGCCTTTTTCCCAGATCACATGGTCTCCATATCCAGTGAAACCAATGGGGCGGTGGATCACTCTCTGCTCATACAGGTATTGGGTTTGCTTCTGTTGACACTACACTCTCTTCCCTATTAAGTGACAATTCTGAGGTTTTTACGAGCCGACTGTACACAAACCACTATGGACACATTTTTCTCTTGTCAATACAGACCTTTCTCAACTCCAGCACTTGTCCAGAGATCCATGGACACCTCCATGCCAAAGAGCAGAGCAGGAAGTCTTGGAAGAAGTTTTATTTTGTCCTGCGTAGGTCGGGACTTTATTTTTCCAATAAGGGAACTTCCAAGGTGAGTAAGACAAAATAAAAACGACAAAACTAAAGCAATATAAAAAGAACATTGGTTATCTGTTGCATACAATTGAAACCGTTGTGTTGCACACAATTTTATTTGGATATTTATCCACCACCACGCTTGATTGAAATTCAAATTCTGTAGTTGTAGATTCATTTCTATGATAAAAACTATTGTTTGCACACTGTACTGTCAACAGTTCATCCTCTGCATATGTCTCACTCGTGCATGGCGAGGGCAGAGGAACAGGTTAAGCTTGATTTCCCTTGGGTCAGCTGGCATATCATCCAGGCAGAAACAGGATTCTCAAAGCCACTGACAAGTGAAGCCTATACCTAGGCACCCGGTGTGCCAACACAACCATTTCTCAACCGCTTTCATTTCCTACAACAGTAGACCTTTTGTTGTCGGGCGCAGGGAGGCTTTGGTACGGCGCCCACTTTTTTTACTCTAGCAGGTTTGCCATTCATCTGTGGTCGGGCACGTTGCTAGTCAGTCAGCACAGGCGCTAATGGCCACCAATTTAAATAAGGAAGTAGGACCGTTGCATCGCATGAAAACAGAACAATGGTAATCTTTGTGCCTTTTTCTATATTTGAAATGTTTTCTTGGCACAATATGGGTGCTGATACTGTCTCATCACAGCCCCTTCCGTTATTGTGTTCCTTCTGCTGAAAGCATTTAACAAAGTGAGGTTTGTTTCATATAAGTGGCATTAATTCACTGTTTAGTTGTCAATTTTCTATTGAACAACGTGTGCCATGTTCAATTAATTTAAAAAAAATTAAGTTACCGTGTTCCTTGTATCAGTGACCACATCGTAACATGAGTTGAAGAGGCAGAACTCTCACGCTCAATCACAGACCTTAGATGTGTCTTCATCCCTCACGCCACAGATATACAGACGTGTTGAATACCAGACCCAGAACTTTTATTTAATGTTTATTCAAAGTCTGAATCTTTCCTCTGCTTTTGTTTTATAATGGCTTCCTCTGTTTCACAGGAACCAAGACATCTCCAGTTCATCGCCGATTTCAGTGACAGTGATGTCTACACAGTGTTGTCAGCCAAAAAGCTACACGGAGCGCCTACGGATTGTGGCTTCTGTGTCAAGGTACCGTCACCTTTCTAGAAATGCCAAAACGCACCAATGGAGTACCAATTGTCTGCATGTTGAACTCCTTTTTTTTAACTTCTTCCTCTAGTCCACTAAATGTAGTTCAGCCCGGGACTTGAAGCTGCTTTGTGCGGATGACGAGCAGACCAGGACCTGCTGGATCACAGCCATGCGCTTGTTAAAGGTTGGCTCACTGATCAGTAACTGGTGATGTCTAAGGGGAGGAATGCTGAATCAGTGCTCGAATCAGATTTAGCTTTTGGGAGGAGGTCAGGGGAAACTACTGAGTGATGCTAGATTAGCACTCGCAGCCTTTATAGACGCAGCATGTGTTCATTGTCTGGATGTCTGATGGATACACTTACAAGCATTAGTCACACTCCTTCTGGTCTATAAATAATATACAGTCAAGCTTAACAGGCTTTATTTGTATCTGCCGCTTTTCACCAGTACACTCCCAGCAATACTGAACAAATTTAAAGTCAAGATGTGATCTATATTTGAGATTAAAATTGTAAATGCTGACATCTTTTCTTATCTCTTCTAGTATGGGATGGAACTGTACCAAAACTTCATTCAGCCACACCAGAAACAAAAAGCTTCACCAATGGTAAGATAATGGTCTATTATTTCATGGAACGCACTTGAAAATGCCTTTTAAACGCTTATATCCTCACGTTGAAAATGTACTCAAGAGATCAAATGATTGCGATAAAGTTCACACAGTTAACACTGTAGCTGCAGTTTGCCTTAACTTGACTTGCCTCTCGAGATTGCCTTGTTGGTGTTTCAGCCCACATACTTTCCTCACCCCAGCAGGCAACTGATATCAGCCACAAAGCTCTGATGTACCCATTTTAAAATAATACCTGCGGTACCAAATTACAGTCCCGGTAGCAACTAGCCGGAGAACGCGGTAGAGCATTTAGCGGCGAGCAGAATGTGTTCGGCCAACACATGGCAGTGTAGTAATGTAATTGCATAGGACAAATGAGGCACCTTCAGTGTGTTAATGTGGGTTTGGTGTCTCCGAATAGCCCCAGACGCTTCTCTGGGTATTTTTGTGGTAGTGAACACCTTCTATTTATGGGTTTTTGGACATGTTCATGAACCCTCCGCTTTCTAAAAATACACAGTGATCAGCTGCTCTCCGATTTAACAACTCTACACCTCTTCTCTGCTGTCGGAGGGTCATATGTGACCAGGAGCCTCGCCAAGAGGATTAGCTAGAAAGACACCGGAGTACATAAATCTGCCAAATGCAGCTCCAGGCTTCTGTATCTCCAGTGCTTTACTTACTAAGATTTCGCTAAACATGCAACCTCGAGAATGCTGCTACATATAACTGAAAAGTAATTAATAACCTGTATTCGTATACAGTAAGGTAACATATATATGCACAATGATGGGTCTTTACATCATTCAAATCGGAGCCGAGGGAATAAGACAGACGGGAATGCCTCTATGCTCACATGAACACTGCTCACTTTGTTTTAACCACTCATTTAAATTCTAAGCTTAGCAGGGTGGTAGAGGAACAAATGCGGTAATATTAAAAGCTTCTTGGTAATCTTGAGTGTGTGCAGTGAGCCACTCACTATATGGCGGCTTAGAGGACTAAAATGGGCCCATGTGTCATTCTTTTCAAAGCCGCTCTAATCCCTTTTCAATGGAGTTTTCTGTCTGCATCATCTGGAAGTGATAAAGATAGAGTCTTGTTACTCAGACACTAGATGGCAATACAACGCCATGATGCAGCAAGAGTCTGTGTACTCCTCCTCCATAGTGTACAAACGAAATAAAACCCAAATAAAAAAAACTTGGGTACCTTCAAGTACACAATAGCCTACATATCTTCATACAGTATCTTCAGTAGCTGTTGGTCAGTGGTGAATAATTTAAAGAAGAATAAGACCAGTACAGCTGGTGCAAAAATAACATTTCATTCTATGCCTGCGATTGCAGAGAAGTATCTCAGAGAATTCACTGGTTGCGATGGACTTTTCCGGCCAAAAGAGTCGGGTAATTGAGAACCCGTCCGAGGCGCTGTCTGTGGCTGTAGAGGAAGGCCTGTCATGGAGGGTAAGTCTGGCTATCCCCTAGAAAATCTCTAAAATATAAATATGGGTGTGACCATTTTTCAAATAATGAGCTGTGACAAACATGACATCTGTGTATTGTAATACTGTGACTTAATATTACTTCAACTTATATTGTGGGTAACTCATTTCTCCGGTAGAGAAAGAGCTGCCACCGTCTGAGCAGCCATGGCAGCCCCTCCACATCACAGAGCTCAGTGTCCAGCATAGGTCTGTGTGTGTGTGTGTGTGTGTGTGTGTGTGTGTGTGTGTGTGTGTGTGTGTGTGTGTGTGTGTGTGTGACAATTTGTTGTTGTTTTTTTTTTGCTCTATGTGCACAAGGAAAAGGGTTCATTTAAAATATATATATTTGATGTGCTTCAGCCCTACACTTGGCTCAGTCCTGGTTCCACGGCAAACTGTCTCGGGACGAGGCTCAGCGTCTAATCACTCAACAGGGTCTTATCGATGGGTGAGCATTTATGTGGTTACGTTATGAGCGAATGTCTGCCGATGGTCATTAGATCTATTGGTTTTAGGCGGACCTCTGAGTTTACAGCGTTTTGAGCATGATCCTCATTAGTGAGGCCTTTTTGCAATATTACTTTTTGTTTGAGACGAGACGAGTAGTTCTGTTAAAAGAGGAAGTTCATGTACACATCTAATAGGAGTCCCATTTTCAGTTAATAATCAGATTTTGCAGTTGTGTGGTGGGTATAACGAAAGTTTGTAGTTTTAGTGGGTATTTTAAATGTAAATAATAAATGTTGTATTATCACAGCCTCTCAATTTACAGTACCAGTCAAACGTTTGGACACATTTTCTCACTGAACTCAATGAGTACTGGACTGGTGCCCGTATGTCTCACAGCAACATTCTCTAGTGGGCCATCCCATTAACGGACTTCAAGAGACAATAGAAATACACAAACACATTTCCCTGGCATCTCAGAAATGGTTGAAGTGAGAACAGTTAAAACTTTCTTCTTGTTTACAGAGTTTTTCTTCTGAGAGACAGCCAAAGCAACCCGAAAACATTCGTCCTGTCGCTTTGCCACATGCAGAGAATCAAACACTTTCAGATCTTACCTGTGAGTACAAGCCACTGTTTGGACACGGCACGTCTTTTTAATCATCCACAACCTCCTTCCACATTTGAGCCTGACGTTTAATAAGTCATCTCTTGTGTGCGTGTGTGTGATTCCTTTTGTTTGGGGGTGTGCACGCATTTGTGTGCATCCGGCCCCGCAGGTGGATGACGAAGGGGAGTTATTCCACAGTCTGGATGACGGTCACACGCGGTTCTCCGACTTGATCCAGCTGGTGGAGTTTTACCAGCTAAACCGAGGGGTGTTGCCCTGCAAGCTCAAACACCACTGTGCCCGGATAACCCTGTGAACGGGGGACCCGAGGCCCCCGAGGGCCCACTTGCACCTTTACTCCAGGGCCGTTCTGGACGTACACTCGCTGGTAACTTGTGCCTTGAAGAAGAAAGATATACTGACTCAACAGCCATGCTAACTAAAACCACTGTTATCATGCACTATTGTCCCCATTCACACTTTGCCGTGTGGTTGCTCCTTATTTTTATATTTCGGACAAAGTTGAATTTGACAATAGACCACATGATAACTGAAAACGTGCTGAAAAAGATGATGTGTTTGTTGATTGTTAATCTTCGTGGCCGTAAATCCATTGTGCAAAGACAAACATGACTTATGTATTTTGTATTGTAGAGCTCAACGTGTACTGCAAACGGCTCGTGATTCCAACATCATGACACCATGATGAGAGAACATCCTACAGTAGCTTGCATTTGAGTTTTCACTGAAGACAATTTAATCAAATGTCTTCTGCAATGTGTGTACAATAATTAAATACACAAACACCTGTCCTCGTTTTTAATTAGAAAGCATATCATTCTGTGAATTGTTGTACACAACACCTGTCATGTCAAATTTTAGTAAAACTAAGCTATCTTACATTTCATTGTCATTGTATTTCTAAGCATTCAGGTATTTCTTTTAAAGAACAGAGTGCTTAGACAACCTATCAGGAAGTATCTGCATGCCTTGTGAGCTGGACTGAGACTGCTGTAGAGAGAGAGGGAGAGGGAGGGAGAGGGAGGGAGAGAGAATGTACAGCTGGAGGGGAATGGCACACAACCTCACTAGCCCGCACTGTAAATTCATTGTAAACGATTGTGATTAAATGAGATGTTTCTATTACATGAAATAAGTTGAAGCAAGGGGGTGAAATACGTATTTCACAAATTTTAGATTGTAGCCATTTACGATGGAAATCCAAAATACTGTGTGACTGTCATATATGAATTCAGTTCAATTGAAATTTAAGTTTTATATTTTCCAAAGATTCAGGTATACAGTTTTCCACTGCTGTGGATAAATATTGTTTCAGGTATTGTTTGTTTTCAATAAGCCAGTGATGCATCAGCTTCTAAAAACTACATTTTAAATCAGTGACATAATTGAAATTACCAACTTCTGTTTAATTGTTTTATTGTTTTTTTCCAGCTGGACAACAGTGCATTGAACAATGAATGTCATGGACTGCGTAGTTTTATAAAAAAAAAAGTATTTGTAAAGTATGACTTGTATGATTTATTGTCACATTCAACAATAAGCTGCAAGCTAAACTCACTTTTAAGTTAAAGCCACAATATTGTAGGTTTGCGACGCACAATGACACAAGCTTACCTGTAAAGCCCAGATCTGGGGCAGACTGCAACAATCAATTATCTTTCTAAATGATATTATATATTAGTCTTTGTATGAGAAATGGGTTATGATGCAAATGCCATGTCAGACACTAAATCTTGCGATAATGAAGCTTTCCCCTGAAGCATCTCATCAGCACACAGTGGGATGCTTCTCTGCACATGCTTTCCTAATGAAGTCCAGCACATAGTTACATTTAGTAGCACTATATAACATACCTTATTGGACACATGAGCCTAACATTGTCAAGTATGATTTACTGAATTCTTTGTGCTGCGTGTGTATAAGTCTACATACACTCGTCTGCGCCACCTAAGTTATTTTCGTAACCACTAGATGGTACTATTCGTCCAGGTTTATGCTTAAAGTATGCAATTTTAAATGACATAATATATACAAGCCATTAACTTAGACTTAAAGTTGTTACTTCAGGGTTGTTCACTAATATTGATCATATAACAGCAAATACAGCCATTATTCCAACAAATGCATATATATTTTATGTATTGCATGGACCAAGCTTATTTTACAGTCCCACCAACAACAAACGCTGTTTGCCTGTTTCTGATGTTAATATGTAATTTAATATTAGTGGTGCAAGTAAAGTTATTTTTTTATTTAATTTACATTGAAACAAGAAAAGAAAATAGTGATTGTCTTGATCATTCGTGTTAAACAATCTTCTCTATTGTGATACAAACACATTGCCCCTGTACCTCCTCCCCTCCCCTACTTCAATAGCACGTTTGGAATCCGTGCTAACATCCAGGGGAGATGTGCGCACACAGAGAAGTCTTAAATGCACCCCTGCTTCCGAGGTCTTGTGCTAAATGTTGTTTTGGATGTATTCCTGCCATTGATCGGAGTCTGGCTGCAGGGGGAGAGATGGCAGCTGGGAGAGACTGCGCTTCCTTTAATGAATTCATCCAGCTCCATCCAGCCTAAAACGGCCTGTGGATACAGCATTTCTCCCAGTAAATAAAGACCCCTGTCTGCACTCTGTCTCTGGCCCTCGTGGACAACCACCACTGCTCATAACACTTCTCATCATATTTACTCCTTCCTGCGCTCCAACTCGTACGACGTTGGATTTTCCACCTCGGAGTTGTCGACTTCTCTCCGTGCTAAAACGACCCCCTCGTTGCATTCCCCCATTCTGTATTCAATTATCTGCCAACGCTGTCTTTGAAGGATGACTGATTACTGGATCCCTAATGAAGTGAAGGCCCTTGCTGTTCGCCCCGCCTCTTGATCCTCAAAGGGACGTTATTTGGGCATTGCTATGAATCCAGGCAGAATATATGAGGAAATGAAGAAAAGTTTCTCCAAGGGATGAACCAAAGTGAAGCTGAGAGGCTTTAACTGTTCCTCTGCAAAGGGTCTCCCATCAGGACTATCTTAACGGCAAAAGCAAATCCAACGGCTCTCTACTGTAGATACAGTGGCCACTGACGACTGGAGCAAAGGTTATTGCGGGTCAAAAAGGAAAATATCAAATACATGAGCTTTTACGTTTTAAATATATTGACACATCTTGATCATTTAGGTCCACATTGCACAGTTGTAGTTTTACTTTGACTTTATTTTCAATCTTAAAAGACATAACCATTGGACAACCAGCATCTAGCCATCCAGGGTAAATATATATAAGATGCAATTAGAGAATTATGGGTCTTGTTTGCATTGACATTTTAAACGCGACATAGTGGATTGTCTAACTGACGCTTTTAAGTTATGAATTGATAAAAAAGAAAGACTTATTGATGAATAACAAATACATGCATGTTGATATTGCATGGTGTTCAAGACTTTGTCAAATGTTCATTAAGATTCTTAGGAGCTGGAATCTGTAGGTCATATACAGCTAAACGTACTTTTGAACCGAGAGTTCATTTCAGTTTTAAACAACAGCAACATTAGTGTTACATTTCTTTTAAGCAACCACCAAATAATAAAGGCCTTTTCACACACTGAAAGATATTTTTCGAAACCGTGGTTGGTCCGTGGTGTGTATAGGGGAATATTCTTGTGTATTTTGAGCATTTTGGCTAATGCATTTTGCCTCAGATAATTGCCCAAACGGTGCTTGCTCCATAAATCGCCTTTCTAACCTCTGATATATATTTTTTTTCTGGGGGTCTTGGAACTGGCAATCGGTAAGTGCCGAGCTTTGTTAATTACAAGGATAACACGTAAACTCGTCGAATAATGGATGTGGTTTGCAATTTCAAGTTTTAATAATCAATTACTGGCGGTAATTCTCTGTGGAGTCACAGGATAGTCATTAAATCTAAAAAGGCGAGACGCAAGCAGTGTTTCCAAAGCCCTATTCTTAAACACATAAGGGAACGCGGTCTGCTTCAATCCGGTGCATTTTGTTGCCTTGTTGCAATGTAAAGTAGCTCGATTACATCCCGACACAGCCGCTCGTAAAATAACTGTTAAAGACAGTGAGTGATGAATGGTCATATTAATTCTTATTCCTACAGGAACTGAGCCAATGAGGGCGGCAGTAGAAAGATGCTCCGTTGCAATAACACAGCAGATCCGCTTGTTATTTTTTCCTCATCGTGAGTTACTGCTTTTATTATGTCGAAGTCAGAAGTTTAAGCAAGTCCTGGATGAATGCATACAAAGCGTACACGTGTGTCTGTGGCTGGGCCTGAAACACCCTCTGTAAACTGGCCTCTTTGATCTCAGCAAACGGGTCGGTGTGGAGCTATAGAATCAGTGTGCTCTTTCCTTTCCCCCATTACAGCAGGGTTCCTGTTATTGTATTTTCGCGTCCACCTTCAAAGCTGAAACATTGCACAGGTTCTTCTTGACCTTGAGAAATTAACATGGGAGGACTGGCTTTGCTCCGAGGGAGCCCTATAGAGGCCACGTCCCCTCCTAATCCCCAGTTGAAAGGCATACCTCTGCTGCTCCAGACAAAATAGTAACATCCAGCGGGCCAAGTGTTTGCACAATATATCGAAAAAGACATTTCTTTCAGGTTATTTAATAAGGTAATAAATATTGGTTTATTGTGTGTAACATATAATGTGTTTGTGCGTATGTGAGGTATTGACACAGACACACAGACACACGGAGACAGAAAAAGAGGATTGGCCTTGCACAGATGAACAAACAGTGAATCTGAAGTGCAGCACCCTGTGCGGCTGACCACCAACTGTACAACATTAAGGCAGTCCTCCATGTAAAACCTGCTCACTTCTCACACAAACACTTGAGTTTGGCAAACGGGCAGCGGCCCAGCGGGGAGGAGCTCTCACCGGAAGGCAGGCGGCGAGCGATGGACAGCAGGGAGACACAAACCACAGCTTCTGGTGGTGATGGACTGATGTTTTAGGTGATCAAAAGGATGGATAAGAAAAGAAAAACAACGGGGGTGGGAGGCGGGGTGGCACCAGGAGGGGGTCTCGGAGAGGAAAACATTTTTGGACTTTGAAGGCTGATGAAAAAATAAAGCTAAGGTGTTTGACAGTGCGGCAGTTTGGGGTGAATATTATTGTACAGTAAAAGTGGACACGAACTCTCAGATTGCTGATATTCACACACCACAACATGTTGAAAGAAAAGAGACTTCAAAACTACAGTACATCATCGGGCAATTCACTTCACGGTTACAGAGACAACACATCATTCTGCAAAATAGGTCAAAGTCTTCACAGTTGAACACACACACACGCACATATGTGGACATGTGCAAAAGCATATTTACACACATATGCATATTTACACACGTATTAGATCCATTTACATTCCTGCCCACTTTTTTCTCTCTCATTTACATGGTGTGCGTGTGACTTCTGAGCAGGTTAGGAAGCCTCGTGGAAGAATTAGGAAATGGTCCATTTGTGAGTTACAGCAGAGCAGAAGCAGAGCAGCATATTCCGGGATTTGAACGATCAATCGATGAATAACCCAGAGCAGTGTTTTTCCGGCGCAGATTGGCAGGCATCGTGCGGTGGTATCTGTGTGTGCGTGTGCAAGAGAGATGGGATTCATCCTTCCCCAAAGTATTACGCAGTCGTCAAAAATATTTGCAATGCCAGGAGGTATTTTGAAAAATATTTGAAAAAAATTCGATACCGCGCTGACCTTTTGCTGGGCATTTGTGAAGACATTCATTCTGCAGCCAATCTGGCTCAGAGTCAGGGTCTGTGTTACTGTACTATGCAGTCAATGTCAAATTATGTTAATCTATTCTGCTTTAACATTCACGTTGATGCGCGTGTTAAAATCTTTTGTTTTAATCTTGCGTTGGGGTTGGTACACTACAATTTTACCAAGACAAGAAGCTAAACATTGAATCGACACAAATACAAAGAAACAGACATGTTGCCTTTATCTTTCGTAATGCAATAGAGGAGAAATTATCTCCATTTCATGTAGGTACCCTATAACTACTTAATATGGATCAGCAACTTGTTATTTTACATTTATCTATTTAATTACTGCCAATCATTTGATGTCTGGTCACTGGGATCTTGTTACTAATGAGCTGATGTGAAATTGCCTCGTCCTCCACAAGAGGGCAGAAAGAATCCAAACACAAACCACCTTGTGCATTTATTATGCCGTTTACTAGTTGCCTACACCTACTCAGTTCAGAGCCTTCGAATATTTAGGAACGTGCCGTTGTTGCATAGACAGTAGCTAGTTGCTCACTATTGACTGTAGGTGTCTTAAATTGTTTGTATGGTATTCATGGTGATTAAAAGGCTGCAATTAGACCAAGTACATTTTTGTAATATAAGTAACATAATATGAGTAAAATAAAACCTTTATGTATCTAACGTAAATATATTACAAACAAATAAAGAAAATAAAGGTGTAGCCTACCTGTTCTAAAAAATGTAAT